TTTTCTGCTCTTTTAATATCTCTTATAATCTTTCCCAAATTCTGTGCAGCTATCAACCACAAGTTTTTCTTTTTTTTTTTCCTAACAGCTCTCTTTGAAGGTCTGATTTTCTTATTTGGGAGATTTTGCTTTGCTAATTTAATAATAGCCTCTTCAATAATTCCCCATACTTGGTTGACTCTATCTAACATATTTGGTGAAGAAGCTATGTCTATATCTATATAATGCTCCTTTAAAAAGGGCAGAATTTTGCTATCTAAGAGCTTTCACAATGTTGCTCTATAACTCTGCCAATCCTTCTCTTTTGTCTGGTCAAGTAACTACTTTATTCGCATTGCTAAATGTGTCTCACTTGGTGCAACTTCTTCTGGGTTTCTGTGTGGCCTTATTTTGATATTAACAAAAGCCGCCTCATGATCACTTCCCGTAATTGTTTGCATCTTAATAATATTTGCTGTCTCAACGTGTTGAGCTAGACAATTCACTACCCAGATCTGATCTATTCTTGTTGCTGTTGTAGAATTACTCCATGTATATTTTTTACTTTCTGGGTTGCAAAGTCTGAAAGAGTCCTTGTACTCTCTAGATATTAGCCACCAATGTAGTAATAAATTCTTTTGTGTTGATGATGGCCTTGCCCGGTCTAATTGCAGGTCTACCACGTGATTAAAGTCCCCCATTAAGATTACAAAATTTGTTCTTTCATAAAATGTAATCTTGTCATGAATCTTAGCCAAAATTTCTTTTACCACTTCGCTATTGCTTGGTGGGAGATATGTCACTATGACCAAGAGCGTAATGTTGTTTGGTAAATAAAAGCTTACAATTAATAGAAATTCATTTAAATTTTCTACTTTTCCAATATATTTCTCTAATCTTTTGCTATTGAGTAACCCTACACCTGAACCTTTAGATTTGTTCACGTCTGCACCAGCCCAAATTCCTCGATAATTGTCTTTATCTTTCATTAAGAATTTTCCTCTATGCTCTTGTATATTAGTTTCTGTCAACCCAACCAAATCGAAACCTTCTTGCGCAGCCCATACTAACACCAGATCTAACCAATAACTACGTAACTTTAACCTATTAATATTATGTACTGCTATCTTTAGAATCCCATCATTTTCTTCTATTATACTCCTCCTCTGCGTTGGAAGGGTCCAGGCATCCTCTTCCCACATTTCCTGAACTCTTTTTTCCATAAAAATGCCTGTAACAACTTTTAGAAGCGATTCTGCGCTCCTAGGCTACTCTGTCTTAGCTCTATCGCATTGAGTCTTTGAAGAATTTGCTCAAGGATCGTGTTTTGAATATTTTCTTTCTGTTCTGTACTGTAAACTCCTGTCTCTATTTGCATTTCTGTAGTCACTACTTTTCTTGTTATAGTCTTCACCTCACCATGATCTGAAGATTTCTTGATATCACAAAGGATATTTTCTTTGCTTCTATTGTTTTCAAGTAGTGGTAAGGTTCTCCTTTTTAGGCGAGGTGTATCAGCAATATCTTTAGGAGTGGTTGACTTGTTGGCTTTCGTTTTTCTCCTCTTATCTGTCAAACTATATGCCTCGTTGCTTTTTCTTTTGCAGTTACAGTTCCCTTCTTTCGTAGGCATCTTCTACTCCAATTTAGTGCTAAAATAATAAGGAATTGATTCTTGCACTTGTACCAAGTCTTTCTCAGTTTTAAAGTATACATGTGCCCTTCTGCACTGATTACTATTACAATTACTTAGTATGTGTACTGCCTGCACCTTGAATCTTTTTAATTATCTGAAAAGCAGGCTATCAAAGGCAGATGTTGGTACATTGAAGATTGTGCTTTTGAACTTGTTTCGTTTTTCTAATTCTTTAATGTTGAATTTCTCAGGTGTTGTTCGATAAGTTTTACCCTGATCCAAATATATAGACCAATTTTCTTTTAAGGACTTTCCTCTCTCCTCTATATTCGAAACAATCTTGATAAAAGCTGCTTTGGTAGTAAAGTTATGTTGCCAT